TTTAAACTGATAAAAGTGTTGGGTGACAAGTAGGACCTAAAAAATGCATGTCTAAGCATTCAAAGCTCTTTACTATTTTTGAAAAGGCACATTTCAACAGACAACTTCCATCACAAATTTTTATGGATGCACAGTAACGGAGAACATCTTTAGTGGGACCAGTGTTGTGCCAAACCATTCGCAAGCCGCTACTTCTTGGAAGGAGTACATCAAAACTCAATTCTTACAGAGTAGTAGGTTTGAACCGAACGACCAATAGCAATCGCCCGAATGGTTTGTTGGAAGTTTCCTGGATGAAGTCGAAATGGTTCGACCAATAATATCGCTCGCGAGGGTGGCGTGGAAATTTCTTCGATGCTCCACCCCACTTATTCCCGAGTCGCGAACCCAGAAATGCAACCTGTAGGTAGGTTTAGGAAAGATACTCCTTCGCAATCCCTAAACAAGACTCGACGTTAACGTCGGACGGGTTGCGTAGATGTTACATTCCTAATTGACAAAAAAAAAAAGAGGAAGTGCAGTTTTGTTTTCTTATTTGGCTCCAAATTTAGGTCTACCGTATTAAAGAATACGGCAAGTGCTTCTTGATGGTGGAATGTATTAGTTTCAATCTGGATGTTTATGATTTTTAAACATTGAGACACATTGATCGTTTTTTTTATGTAGTGAACAAAGATGATACTTTCGATTGGACCATTGCACTATTTTTAATGAGTTGTTTCAGCCCAGTCAGTGTCGCGTGAATGTGCGTGTGTTTTCACGTGACAATCCCACCCACCTGTTGCCTCTCCCTCCCACCCACCCACCTCGTCATAGCACCCACCACCTCCACCCCACCATCCTTTCTTTCCCACCGCGCCGTCCTCTCTCCCTCCCACCCGCCCTCGCCTCTCCTTTCTACCCGCCGTCGCCGCTCCCTCCTCCCACCGTCGCCGCTCCCTCCCACCCCGCCGTTGCCTCTCCCTCCGCCGTCGCCTCACCCTCCGCCGTCGCATCTCCCTCCGCCGTCGCCTCTCCCTCCGCCGTCGCCTCTCCCTCCGCCGTCACCTCTCCCTCCGCCGTCGCCTCTCCCTCCGCCGTCGCCTCTCCCTCTGCCGTCGCCTCTCCCTCCGCCGTCGCCTCTCCCTCTGCCGTCGCCTCTCCCTCCGCCGTCGCCTCTCCCTCCGCCGTCACCTCTCCCTCCGCCGTCGCCTCTCCCTCCGCCGTCACCTCTCCCTCCGCCGTCGCCTCTCCCTCCCCATAGTCTCCTCCCTCCCCGTCCCGTCGCCTCCGCTCCTTCCCATCCCGTCGCCTCCGCTCCCTCCCATCCCGTCGCCTCCGCTCCCTCCCATCGCCTCGCCTCCGCTCCCTCCCATACCGTCGTCGTCCCCTCCCAGCCCGCCGTTGCCTCTCTCACCTACCCTGCCGTCGCCACTCCCTACCCTCCCGCCGCCGTCTCTCCCTTCCATTCCGCCTCTCCTCGCCCTCATCCCCGCCGCGCCACTCCCTCCCGTCCCGCCGTGGGGCGGTTTGAGAGCATGGATAAGGATGGTGAGAGAACGAGAGCTGGTGCGCTAGCGCGGGTTGGTCTTCGAGGCACCGTCATTAGCAGGTGCGTTTATTCCTCCCACCCCTCAGATATTCCATTGTTTCCTACCTTATTTGTAGTTTCTGCGTTTAGACTTGCCTCGTCTTGCGTTGCACTACCAATTGAAGAGGGGGAGAGAGGGAGTGCGAGGGAGAGCGTTCGCACAGGATCGAGCACGCAGGGAGTGCGTGTGAGACAGCGTATGTTGAGAGAGAATGAAGAGCTGGAGGGAGCACGAAGCGCGTGTGGGAGAGAGAGGCGGGAGAGAGAGTGTGTGCGCGCTTGCGCCGTTGGCGTGGGTGCCGCGGGCGCTTGCGCCTAATCCGCTTGCGCTTATGTCGCTTGCGATTAGGGCTCTGCACTGGTGCGCTTGTGATTAGGGCGTGAGTGTGTGTGAGTGGTTGCAAGAGTGAGTCGAGAGTGTGCGAGAGGGTGAGTGCGGGTGTGAATCTAGGTGCTTGTGTGGGTGTGAGTGCGAAAGTGAGATGCGCGTGCAGTTGTGGGCAAGGGCGAGTGCGAGGTTGAATTAGAGAGCAAGCGCATGAGTGAGTGCGAGAGTAGTGAGAAGGTGAGTGAGAAAGCAAGTTTGAGAGTGAGTGCAAGTGTGAGTGTGAGGGCGAGTTTGAGGGTGAGTGTGCGCGTGAGAGTGTGTGTGTGTGTGTGCGCGCGTGTGTGCGAGGCTGAGTGCAAAGGAAAACGAGGGTGCGTTCGAGTGTGTGTGAGGGTGAGTGCGAGGACATATGCAAGGGTGTGTATGTTTTTATGATTGTCAAAGAAGAGTTGAGAGTATATTTGTGTGCGTGAAGAGTGAGTGCGAGAGTGTGAGGCTGAGTGAGTGAGTTGAGTGAGTGTGGCTGCAATGTTGAGTGCAAGGGTCATCACGGTGTGAGTGTAAGAGTGAGTGCGAGGGTGAGTACGAGTATGTGCAAGAGAAAGTGGGAGATAGAGGGCGAGTAGGACTGCAAGAAGGAGTGCGAGCCTGAGTGTGGGCGTGGCTGTAGGTGCAAGTGTGGGTGTGTGTGCGAGTTGGGTTCGAGTGTGCGTGCGGCTATATGTGCGTGTGCGTGTTCGAGTGAGTGCAAGGGTAAGCGCGAGCGCGAGTCCGAAGGTGAGTGTGAGGGTTATGTGTGTGTTTCTGTGAGTGTGTCTCAGTACGGTTAAAAGTACTTGTATGTTCGTGAGTGGTTGCGAACGTGAGTGTGAGAGAGTGTGAGAGAATGAGCGCGGGTGTGAGTGCGAGTGAGTGCACGCATGCACTTGAGGGTGCATGCAAGTGTGTGTACGAGGGTGAATGCGAGAGGAAGTGCGAGCGTGAGTGTGAGAGTGAATGTGAAGGTGAGTGCAAGGGTCAGTGCAAGAGCAAGTGTTAGAGTGAGTGTGAGTATGAGTGTGAGTGCAAGTGAGTGTGCAAGAGTGAGTGCAAGGGTGAGTGCGAGGGTGCAGGTGTGAGCGCAATGGTAAGTGCGAGGGTGAGAGCGAGGGTACGTGCGAACATGAGTGCGAAAATGAGTTTGAGGGTGAGTGCGAGGGTGCGTGCAAGGGTGTGTGCGAGTGTGCGTGCTAGTGCATGCGCGCTTTTTGAATGAGTGTGAGAGTGCAGGGAGTGTGTGTGTCTGTGGGCGTGTCTAGCAAAAGTTGGGAGCGATAGTGTGTGCGTGAGTGAGTTGGAAAGTGAGTGCGAGAGTGAGGTGCGAAGATGAGTGTCAGGGTGAAGGCGAGGGTGGCTGCGAGGGTGGCTGCGAGGGTGGCTGCGAGGGTGGCTGCGAGGGTGGCTGCGAGGGTGGCTGCGAGGGTGGCTGCGAGGGTGGCTGCGAGGGTGGCTGCGAGGGTGGCTGCGAGGGTGGCTGCGAGGGTGGCTACGAGGGTGGCTGCGAGGGTGGCTGCGAGGGTGGCTGCGAGGGTGGCTGCGAGGGTGGCTGCGAGGGTGGCTGCGAGGTATTGCGGGCATGCTGGCATGGTATGTGTGACGACACGATATCTTATACCGAATCACCTTCGTGAGATGTCAAATTTGATTGTTTTCGTCCCTCATCTGTATTTTTTGTACTTCATTCTTCATCAGCGTATTGTTATAACTCTTACCTCGTTTCTTGTGCTCGGGTGGGCTGCATTCCTGTGATTTGTTTCCTGTGCTGTGCAGCTCATGCAAGTTGTATTCTCTTTTGTTTTTGTTTGTGCAGGAAGTGTTAGCTGCATTATCTGTTTTTGCTTTCTTGCCCAGGGAATGTGAGTTGCATGCGCTGTTTGTGCTTTCTTGGGCAGGGGGTTCAAGCTGCACTATTTGGTTTTTCTTGTGGAGAAAGGGGAGGGGTTGAGAGTGGGTAAACAGATACGGGAGGAATAGGGGATATTGGAAGGGAGGGGGGGGATGGGAGACAAGGGAGGGAGGGAGGGGAATGTGGGACAGGTTAACGGTGATTATACATGGCTGAACTCATTCGTTACGCTTGCATTGCATGTTCAATAGCGGTAGTATGCCTTTGTGTTGTTTGCGTGTGTGTGTAGGTGTGTGAGCGAGCCTGTATGTGTCTGTCTGTACATGTTGGTGTTGTTTGTGTTTGTTTCGGGATTTGGTGTTGAGTGCCTTGTGTATGCAACTGGGGTTGTGATCGTCGGTGGGGCAGCTATGCTCGCCCCTTCCGCACCATATCAACCTCTGTTGCGACATCGATGCAATCGGCATTAGCCTTGAAGCATTCACAACTGTTAAATGTCCAAATTTGTGTGCTGTCGTTTGTGCCTGTTTCGGGGTTTGGTGTTGAGTGCCTTGTGTATGCGATTGGGGTTGTGATCGTCGGTGGGGCAGCTTTGCTCGCCCTTTCCGCACCATATCAACCCCTGTTGCATCATCGATGCATTTAGCAATAGCCTTGAAGCGTTCTTGAATGTCCAACGTTTTTTAGCAAGTTCGTGTGTACTTTCATATCTTCATGTTGTTTTGTTTGTTTGTTTGTTTGTTGTTTTTTTCTTTTTGTGAAATTCACATATGGTATCGTCGTTCGTGAGGAGAGATTGTCCAATTATTACATTCGCCGTACTTATCGACGACTATGGATGATTGGACACATTCGGTTTCACTTGTACGGTAACTTACGTGAACAGTGATTCCTTCCAAAATCGATGGGGGGAAGTCACTGTTCACGCCAGTCAACCGAAAAGTGAAAACGAATGTATAAGGTTGCTACGCAACCCAAAAACATCCCACCCCGACCTCGCACATTTTGGGATGCACACCAGTTCCAGGCTGAATGTGCGAGGATCACTTAGCGCTATCATTGCAAGGTCGTGCCTGCTTCTCATTCCCGAGAAACAAACAAGTCCTTTTTCACCATAGGTGCGTCGATCCTGGAAATCTGCATTATCATGTAACTTGTATCGCAGGATGCGTTTCTCAGAGCCTAATCAACATAGTGACTACATATTTTCTTCCTGATTACATTCTCCCCTCCTCCTCCTCCTCCTCCTCCTCCTCCTCCTCCTCCTCCTCCTCCTCCTCCTCCTCCTCCTCCTCCTCCTCCTCCTCCTCTCCTCCTCCTCCTCCTCCTCCTCCTCCTCCTCCTCCTCCTCCTCCTCCTCCTCCTCCTCCTCCTCCTCCTCCTCCTACTCCTCCTCCCCATTCCTCGTTGTGACTGCAGCTTGAAGCAGCCATGGCAGCAAGCAACAACGACTTGACCACTCTTGAGGAAAAGCTGATTATGTGTCAGCAGACCAGGAAGCAGGCATACAATGGTGAGTGCGACAGTGGACGGACGAGGGGGTGGAGGAATGGGACGAAATCGAGTACAATTCTCTTCTCCACTTTGTGGCACTCATTCCTCAGTATTTGCTTCAAAGCTGTCATTGGTGCCAGAGGTGGTTTGATCTCATTTACGAGCACAAGTTTCGGTTATAGCTGGAAATGCTGAGAAACTGAATCCCTACACTGTGTTCGCACAAGCTTTTCTAGTATTTTGACTCGCTTTCGTGCTGTTTTTTTACCGATGCATTTTCCAAATAAACTCAATATTGCAAAACAGTCCAACCACTCTTGTTATCCATCCACCCCTCTTTACCCCAACAGAGTTCACTCAGGTTGTGGAACAAGCCCTGCTCCAGCTGCGCAGCTAGTTAGCTGAAATTGGGCTCCTGCGTGAGACATTGGCTGCCCTGCGTGCAGTGAATATCTAATTGGTCACCCGGATGAAGGGGTTTCAGCTCGTGGAAGCTAGGCTGAGTGAGCATGAGAAACTGGAGAGAACTGTTAGAGCGTGTGAGATGCTGGAGGAGATTAGGTGTAAAGAGTATGAGAAACTGGAGATTAGGGTCAGGGATTATGAGAAACTGGAGATCAGGGTTAAGGAATATGAGGAAATGGAGAGGAGGGTTCAGGAGTATCAGAAACTTGAGAGTAGGGTCAAGGATTATGAGAAACTAGAGATGAGGGTAAGAGAGTATGAGAATATGGAGAGGAGGGTTCATGAGTATGAGAAACTTGAGAGTAGGAGTCGATGACAGCAAGAGAAACTGGAGGCATGGATGAAAGAATCGGACCACTGGGAAGCGAAAATGAGGATGTGGAAGGATAAAGCTGAGAAACTCGAGGCAGAAGCGGAAGAATCAACCAGCTACTGGAGAGCGAGAGTGAGAGAGTTGAAACGCGAGGTAGAGTATCTGGAAAAAAAGATTCAGGAAGCTGCGCCTTTGGAGATGCAGATCAAGAACCTGAAGGAAGACCTGGAAGAGGTAGGGTGGGAGGTTCAGTGCGCATGCATATGCACAAGCTCATGCACACGTGTGCAAATGTGTGGGAGTGCAATTGTGTGAGCGTGCAGATGTGTGTGAGCGTGCAGATGTGTGAGCGTGCAGATGTGTGAGCGTGCAGATGTGCGAGCGTGCAGATGTGTGAGCGTGCAGATGTGCGAGCGTGCAGATGTGTATGAGCTTGCAGATGTGTGTGAATGTGCAGATGTCATGTGTGATCGTTTTTTTGTGTGAGCATGTTCATATCTTCCAATCTCTCATAAGTTGTATTTTTGATGTCGTTTCTCATAGCCACTTACAAGGAATCCAATTTGGTATGTTCCTACCTTGCCAGGTGTCACAGCAGCGCAACAGGCTGCACCAGCAGCTGAGGAACACCCAGGAGCACAGGGGGAGGTTGCAGCAACAAATGATGGAAGCCCGAGAGATGTCTCTTCAGGTAAGTGCAGAAAGTCACAAATCAACCTTCCTGCTCCCATGGTTAGTGATTCTTGCTGTTGCTTCTGTCTGCAATATTGCAAGTCAATGTCTTGACTGCATTCACTGTAATTTTCTGTGCCTCTAGGGTGTGCTGAAGGTGGGGGAGGGGAGGAGCGGTGGAGTGAGTGGGGGGAAGTAGCAGAGTACCTCTGGTAGCAGAGTGCCTCTGGTAGCAGAGTGCCTCTGGTAGCAGAGTGCCTCTGGTAGCAAAGTGCCTCTGGTAGCAGAGTGCCTCTAGTAGCAGAGTGCCTCTGGTAGCAGAGTGCCTCTGGTAGCAGAGTGCCTCTGGTAGCAGAGTGCCTTTGGTAGCAGAGTGCCTCTGGTAGCAGAGTGCCTTTGGTAGCAGAGTGCCTCTGGTAGCAGAGTGCCTCTGGTAGCAGAGTGCCTCAGGTAGCAAAGTGCCTCTGGTAGGCGAGTTATACCCATATCCATCTGTTTTCCCACATTTTTTGCAGGTTCTCCGCGACTGCGTGAGAGAACTCAACCAAGTGCCAGCAATGGGAACTACACAGCTCATGAGTGCAATCAACGCTCACATTCAGCCAGTGGTGGAGCAGGAAGGGGAGGACTTGGTGGAAGTTGATTGTGAGCCCAAGCTAAAGGTAAATATGAAACTGCTTGTTGAGACCATCAGGACACTGCTGGCTGCAGCTCCTCGGTTAACGAGTCTGCTTTTGCCCGACTGATCATTCCAACCGCGGCGAGCCTTGCGATGTTGAAAGTCACTACAGTACGGATACAATTTTAGGACATGATATCTTTTTGTGTGTTTTATCATGATGCTGTTTCCAATGCTGAAGCTATGTACACCAAGTGAAAAGACTAGGAGGCGGAGAGTAATGTGATAGACTTGACAGAATTGGAAGAGGTAAGACCAGAGGACGGGGGTAACTTGATGGTGGAAGGCGCGTGATATGCTCTCCTCAAACTAGCAAGACTGGTTTAGGTACTCGCTTTTATGCTGGAATGTTCTTGGCAGATGACGGAGCAGCGCAACGGGCTGCGTCAGCAGCTGAGGAACACTCAGGAGCACAAGGCGAGGCTGCAGCAGGAACTGATGGAAGCCGGGGATAATGCCATGAAGGTGAGCAGATAGTGACCCTTTCTCGCGTTCTTGATCTCGCTAAGATGCCACATGCTTGTTTTTCCTGTTTTGAACGAAGTGTGTATGCCTTGAACATGTGTCTATTCTTAACATTATGTTTCTCTTTTGATGTGTGTCTGCTTTGGTCAATGTGTGTCTGCTTTGGTCAATGTGTGTCTGCTTTGGTCAATGTGTGTCTGCTTTGGTCAATGTGTGTCTGCTTTGGTCAATGTGTGTCTGCTTTGGTCAATGTGTGTCTGCTTTGGTCAATGTGTGTCTATCTTGAACAAGGTCTGACTGCTTTGGAATACCATCCCACGCCTTGTTCCATGCCTTTACCCACAGGCATTACGTGACTGCGTGGGAGCTCTTAGCAAAGCACAAGCAAAGGATGTAAAGCAACTACTAAGTGCCATAAAGAAACACATCCAGCCAGTGGTGGAGCACGAGGAGGAGGATCTGGTGGAAGTGAATCCAGAGCCCAAGCTAGGGGAGAGCATGAAGCTGCTGGTCAGGACAATCAATACGCTGCTTGCTGTAGCTACCAACACCTGAGGCCCGTGCAAAGCATCCTTGGCATGGGGATGTTTTCTGGTTGATGCAGCAGAAAACGTGGTGTAAGGTATTTTCTTGCTCGAGGCATGGAAACCTTTGATCTAGCCTATGATGAGCAGGGCAGGGCATGGTGCTACTAGCCGAGCCACTCAGCAAGCACTGCCAGCTGCAGTTGCCAGGATGTGATGGTTGCATTGTAACCTCCAGACCACTCCATGTCTTCCTTCAATGCCTCTTGTTGTGGAGCATGAAATACTTGCTGGGCACCTCTTCCATTAGGTTGTGCTGGGATGGTTGGTTGCATACAGCTCAGGGCTTGCAAAAGTCGAAAAACATTCAGACAAGAAAGGCAAAACTGTTGGAAACAATAAGTCCTAAGTGCGCTTCTGTCGTATCAAAATCCAAGGTACCAAGCGAAGCAGTCCCAATCGAAGCATCGAGTCAACCTCGGAGGTTAGGGTAACCGCCTGGAGGTTACGAGAAAGTCAAAGGTCGCTGACCTTTGACTCGACAATTACAGCGCGACAGTTAAGGACACACAACTGACTCGTTACAGAGCAGTTGCCCGAGTCGCGCTATATCGAACCGCAACAGCAATACAGTTATCTATCTATTCCCTGTACTCTTATATAAATCCTTGTATTTGCTTGTTTAATTCAATCAACTTTGCTCTCACACACCAGTGCAAGGTCGGTTCAAATTCTTCACTAAACGCTTCCGCTATTACAACTACTTCACCTAGAGTTATCCCTTGCAAAGATCCTAAGGGGCTATCTCAGCCCAACATGGTATGAGAGCAGACAAGGGAAACTCTACTCTTTTTTCAATATCATTACAAGACATGGCAACAAACAAGGAAAGGAGCTCCCCTAATGGCTCCTCGGGCACTACTCCTACTCCACCGTCAGCCTCTGGCCTGCAGACAGAAGAAGGCACGGCAACAAGACCAAGAGGAACGTCAACCGAGACCCCCATGAACCACCCTTCGGACTTTGACCAGAACATGATGGAGAAATTTTTCTCCTTCATGTCCTTCTACGAACAACACCAGCAGTCGGGACCTGCACAAACACACAACAGCAACAACGGAGCGACACCCATGAGTCTTGATGGGTCGTCATATGCGCGAGGAAACCAGCAGCAGCAACCTACCTTTGCTCCGTACGAGCGCGGGTCAATCAGCTTCGTGCCCCACCCGCAACCTTCACCTGGACAAGAAAGACCACTGGACGCACTTCAAGTTCAGTCGCAGTTTGCACACGTCTTAAAACTGCAAACGTCAAGACCCTTCGACGGCAAAGACTTCTTTACCTGGTCCTTTGAATTCGAGCTGATGATGGAGGGCGCGCAGATACTCGGCTTCTTCGACGGGTCCCTGCAGTATCCAGCCAACGGGACACAATATGAAAAGCAGCAGTATACGTATCAATCAATGATGGCGTATACAATCCTATTGAGGAATGTGACACCAACTCAGCAGCAGAACATTCGCTCTTACCGGACCTTCGGCAACTCGGCGGAGCTCGCGTACAGCCATCTGAAGAACCTGTATCAAGCAACAGACAGTGTAAACCAGAGCAGGTTAATGGCGCAGTTGACAACAGTCGAAATGAAACCAGGAGAAAAAGGACTGGCGTATATCAGCCGATGTCGCGAACTGCGCGACAAGCTGCTTCGATGCGGAGGGTCAATCTCTGAAGACGCCTTCGTGACAGTCATCATTGGTGGGCTTGGTCCTCAGTGGCGCGCCACCAAAGCCATTCTTCGAGCCCACGGAAGAATCTCTGAAGCTGCACTCTGCGCCGAAATACATGCCGAGCAGCAAGATATGGACCTGCAGGAAGAACGACACAGGAAGAAAACGACAGTATCAGAGTTCGCATTCCACACTCAACGACGACACAGCAATTATAACAACCGACAGCAGCAACCGAAGATAGTACCTCCCTTCTGCCACATCTGCAAGACTTCAGGGCACCCGCGCACACACTGCCCGAATCGTCAGCAATCAACGGCACCACAGCGACAACTTCGACCTTCAAGCTCCCAAATGGCTTCAACACAAGCAAGTGCGACGACCACTATTCAAGCTTCAACGACTTCACCCGGACAACCTGCACAAGGAGCAAGAAATATAATCAACTGCATGACGAAGATAACCGATTCATGTACAACCGAATCACCACCACACTACTCACCGGAAGAAGAGCTTGACAACAGAACGCCTCGCCGTGAGCTACTCCAGCCGAATCCAACGTACGCCGCCATCGCTCAAAGTG